AGGCACTGGAAACAGGCTTTCAAACTCTCCATTGAAAAAAGGCACAGGTAATCACAATATTCTGCCCAGAAAATTTTAATACATTATACATTTAATACATATTGTGTTCATCGAAGAGGCAGCTTTTTATTCAGCATACATTTTTTTGCAGTTAGCCTAAACTTCAAATATAAAAATCTAACTGCAACTGCTTGTTTCAGCAGGACACCTGTGCCAAATAATTTGCCCTCAAGGCATCACTATATCCATCTAACAACTCTACCATGACACAGTATAGTAAATGTTTGCATGGTGGTCATTTGTGATGTCCTCGACTTAGATTTACAAGGCTTCAGGTGACCTCTGACTTCTACAGCTATGAGCTATTCAGCCACATTTCAGAGAAGCCAGTAGGACAAATAAACTAAGAAAAAAGTCTGGAGAATAAGGCTGCATACTAACAAAAGTAAACAAGGAGTCAGTGCATTCATAAACAAGCAGTTCATGGTAGAAGAGCTTTATAGCATGACTATTATGAGTGTGGTGTCTGTCTAATGTCAGGCTGACTCAGGGATCGACTCTATCCCATTTCTCATAGCATCAACACCTTAAGGCCTAAAACGACCTCACAGACAGGAAATGTCAATTATACCAAGTTGGGACTTGAGTGCAAGTCATGAAGAGTGAGAAGAAATGTGAAAAGACCATGACACACATTCCCAAAACCTAATACAACAATTTCTTACGTGATTTTATGTCAATTCTGACTCCAAATTTCATGATTTTTAATTCAAATCATGAAATGAATCATTAAAGAGGTCCTGTTATGCATTTAGTGTGTAATGTTGCAGTTACAAAGCACCAAGTCCACTCCAAAAGGGAGTATTCTGTATGAGTAAGCAATGTTTTTGAACTCCCTCAAATGCCTCGATTGCAGTCCTGTTTTCTTTCAGGAACATATGCATCACAATATTCCTAATTTAAATGGGTCATAGGATGCTACATGCACTTTTACAAGTTGTTTGAACTGAAATGTGTGTTGGCAGTGTGTGTACACAACCACCCTAAAATGATAAAAATCCACCCAGTGTTTTTTTTTTTTCACGATGAATGCAGCTAAAGTAAACAGTCCCTCAGAGAGCAGCTTGGAAGAGAGGGGCGGGGTCAGCAGATCTCATTAACATTTAAAGGAAAATGCTACAAAACTGCATTCTCTGAAAAGAGCTGTTTTTGACAGGGTAAAAAAGGTGTTTTTTACACTACCATTGAGAAATTTTAACCAAACTATGTTACAGACTTTTCATTAAGACCCTAAAGAATCATATCAACTTGTGGAAAATGGGCATCCTATGACCCCTTTAAATAATTCCGGCCCAAAGCATTAAAAAATAAAGGGTGCACGCGCTTTGTGTGTGTGCGCTCAGAAAACCATATATCAGACGTTTAAACTGACAAGGCTTTTTAAACACGTTGCGAAGAACTTTTCATTATGACAAAGAACTGGAATGCCATGATAGAGATGATAATCATAAACAAACAGATTTTTTTTTTGTTTGTTGTTGCCGTAGTAACAGGCATGATGCATGAGCAGCAGCTCCTTTGCATTTAAAGAGACACACACGAAAACAGCATGATTTTGCTTCCACCCAAAAAGGGGCATTTACAGCATTATATAATAAATGATATGTGGGCTATTTTAAGCTGAAACTTCACAAACTCTACTTGAGACTGGGGAAACTTGAGATTTATATTACATCTTGTAAAAAACAACTTTTTATAACTTCTTATTAGGACCCCCTTAATGCTGTTATCTGACCACAGAATTCTGTTATTGATCAGTCAGAATGAAGCATTCCATAAAGCCATGGTATTATTAAACATTTTTCTAAATATGTCCCTCTTCTGTAAACTGTAAAGCAAAGTTTATAATTTTCAGATATTAAAACTGTTTAACCCTTATAAATTTACAATCTGAGAAGTTCAAAAATCTGTGACTTTTGAGATAATATTTTGACAAAAAAAAAAACAAAAAACGATGTGATGAGTCATAAAAAAATAAATACAATTTGGCTGTTTGGGGTGAAATTGAGAAATTTACACAAATAAAAAATGATGGAAATTAGTGTTATATCGTTTAATTAAACAGAAAAAGTTACACTCTTACTGTTCCTAGTATTACTATGTTACTATGAGTGAGGCCAAATCAATATAGCAGACTACTGAAAAAAACAATAAAATACAGATTGGAACAGCTGAGAGGATATGGAGACACAACAGACTGTGGCATCAAGACTGAAAACCCCAAATGAAGATTTAGGTATTGTTTTGTGAATATGATACTGAAAACATCAGAGTGGTCAAATTCCTCTCACTCCCTTGTTTTCAGAGACAAAGGATGGGTGTGATAATGACAGTCTGTTTTTTCTTGAAAACCTCGCTCTCTCACAAGCCATATATAGACACAAGACTCCCTTTTTATTCTTAGCGTGGGCAGAGAGATTGAGAAAGGGGGAGAGAGAGAGAGAGAGAGCACACTCTAAAAATAAAACATCTGTTCAAGGAGCAGGTCAGGTGGGAGGCAGGTCTGACCCGCCATGACAACGAAGATGAGAAGAGAGAAAAGCAGAGGTATAAGCCGTGAGGAAAATGATACTGTAATCTGTTAGAGAGAGAGGACGAGGAATTGACTGAAAGAGAGATGTCAAGCAGGGGGGTTTTACTGGACAGCACACTAGCTAGACCCCAGTGTGAGTGTGTGCGTTTGTGTCCATGTGTGTTTGGTAAAACCACAGGCTGACTTAAAGACAAACACCAGGGCCAGCTTGCAGAATGATGAATGCGTGGAGAGAGTCAGCAGAGAGTGGAGCAGAGCAAACGAGATAAAATGAAGGCATAGAGAGAGAGAGAAAGCGAAGGGAGCGCAGGCACAGAGGGGCCCTGAAAATATCATGTGTCATCTGCATGAATGTGTGCAAGCGAGAGTGTGTTTGGTGAGCTTTTTGAAAGCGTGATTTATGGGTGTACATGAGAGAATGAATGAGCTGGGCTCTGTGTGAGACTTCAGAAAAAGAAGGATTAGAGTGGAAAGACTGACAATGTGTGTGATGGAAAAATTCCCATATTGGCAATATGACTGTTTTTACTGTATTTTTGATCAAAATAAATGCAGCTCTCGTTAGCAAAAAAAAAAGAGACTTCTTTCAAATGTTTTAAAAATCTTACTTTTGAATGGTGGTATAGGTTGATGAAGTTTTTTTGAACAGCCCAACCAGCAACACACAGCAACAAAGGCATAACCAATGGCTGAATTTGGGAAGGGACTATCTTTTTGTTAAACCAATGGTTGACAGGGAGTGTTCCCATGCTGGACAAAAAAACAAACAAACAAACAAAAAAAAACTTAAACCTAAGCTGGTTTGCTGATCTTAGCTGGTTTCCCAGTTTGGTTTTAGAAGGACTTTGGCTACTTTTAAGCTGGTCAGACTCAAAGAGCTAGCTTCACACTGGCAGACCATCTTAAACCAGCTTAGACCAGCAAACCAATGTGGTTTAGCAAAGACAGGAAACCTTTTTATGAACCACTACACAACTTATGGTTACTTTTATTGATAATCTTTCAGCTATTTAAATTCAGTTTTCATACTGATTAATTTGTTGAAGTTCCCAACGCAGTTTCGGGGGGAGCCTAATCGTCCAGTCCTGCCAATTATTGCTACGACCGTATATAAGCAGCAGTCATTGCTCCGTTCTGGCATCCCTCCACCTCCCCTTTTCCTCCTCTATTCCTTCTCTTACTCGGAGCTCGAGTCGAGCCTTGGGTTCGAACCTCCTTCGTGGACAGCAAGCCAAGTTCGTTTACCATTATCTGGCAGGGCTGAATGGGCAGGCGAACTCGTGAAATTAATACTAACACTGATCTAACCAGTTATTTCCAGGAGGATAGGTACAATACAACTAAATGAAAATGAGTGATGTTTGATTGGTGTCCACATGGAGTCATTTGTTTTCCAAGCCATAAAAATGTAATAAATGACAGAAAAAAATGTAGAAAGCAGACATTGCACAAGACAATAAAGAGGAAGGGGGATCATCAGACCTTTTGGAAGTCACACAAAAAAGTATTTCTGGTGCTCTACCCTCTCCCATCATTCTCTGTCTGTCTCTCTCTCTTCAGAGCCTCAAAGGAGTCCATCTGCTTTCCATTCAGGCACATAATGCATTTCAGGAGACTACATTACCCTTCAACACACACACACACACAGTGCTCATTCACCCCTTTACCCAGAACTTCACACTAACTTGTTAATGCAACTGCAAAGTCTCCATGTCCCAGCACTATCCAAATAATAGACGGCGAATTTCACTTTGCCATTCAAAGTAGATAGCCCTTCTGTGATGACATCATGGTTTGGACAAGGACAGATTTGGGTAAAATGTAGAAAATAGCTCTTATGTATAGTAATTACTAAGTAAACAGAGCACAGAGTGCATGCAGGTTCATAAAAAAGCAAAATTTTCTTGTTTATGGCCTAAATTTAAGGTTAAAGAACGGGGATTTAAGTCAAGTCAAGTTTATTTGTACAGCGCTTTTCAAAAAAAAAAAAAAACTTGACTTGACTTAAATCCGTTCTTTAACCTTAAATTTAGGGCATAAACAATAAAATTTTGCTGTATATGAACCTGCATGCACTCTGTGCTCTGTTTACTTAGTAATTACTATACATAAGAGCTATTTTAACAGTTATTGTGCCTTTACAATGAGAGTCAAACATTTCTGATCCCATCACCGAATTGCTTCCATTTCCTGAAATGCCTACTTCACATGTGCAGCTTGCGAGGTAGTGGGCGGGGCGTGTTCTGGGCGTGTGCATGATGAGCCAATCATCTTGCGAATCCTAACGCATGGGGTGAGTCGCCCCGCCCCCTTCACTCACGCTTCTTTGCGTGCTCATGTCCCGCAGAATCAGAGACGCGACAGAAGCAGATAAGAAGCGTTGTTTTTTTGTTTTTTTATCAACTCTCTTTTTGAAAGTACCCGTGGGATCAAAAGTATTTTAATTAGTCTTTCTCTTAAGTTGGACACGTATTTGGATATATCCCGTGTGATAAAACGCGGTATTTGTCAGTTGTCCCAACCGAAATCGAGGAGTTTATTCTCTCGGATCAGCCCGTTTCATGCGACTAGACAGTCTCCATCTGTCCCATCTGCACGACAGGACGGTGAACATCAATGGACATTTACGGATAGAAACTGGACGACACGTCGTGATTTGAATGCCTTTGCGGGGACTTTGCTGGCTTGTGTGCTGCAGACAAGGCTTCAGTTTGCTGGCTCGGGATCATGGGGGGGAAGAGGAGGAAGAGTCTTTCGAGTTACGCAATCAGGACGAGCACACACACACTGGACGGGTATGTAGACAAAACTAAAGCTGTCACAAAACCTAGTAAGCTGACTACCTAGACAGCACAGTATGGTATCCAATATGGTTCATTGCTGTAGTTTAAACTAACGTTAACTAATATCTATTCTGATGCTCCTTTTACGTAAAAAATATTTGTGTATGCTTGTTTTATTTTTTATATACGTGTTACTGTTACTGTTTTATATACGTCAGGATCCCAAATTTAACAAGTAACTTTAATTGTTTTGAAGTAAAATCAAGTAACATATTGCCATTTAATTTTATTGGTATGTGTGGTTCAGATCTCAGCTATTCACTTCCAACTAGCATGTATTGCTAGTTGTTGCAGATACCTATTACTAGTAGCTTTACATTTGGTACTAGTACTTTTTGTTGGGTGTTTACTAGTAACTAGTCCTGCTTAATAATTATTTACTAGATACTTGTACCTATTTATCTAGACATTAGTAACTATCCTAAGTGTCACTAGTTACATATTTTGTCTCACTCAATTGTTGTTTTGCTTATCATATATGATTTAGTGTTAGTGTCTATTCAGTACTACTAAAACTAATTACTAATAGTAAAGAATGAGTGTTCATGTAAAGAATAAGTGCTAGTGATTTACTGAATAGCTATTAGTCACTATTGGTATAAGTACTAGTATCTAATGAAATTCCAAAGGATAGGCCTACTAGTAGTCACTATTGGTTTACATACTAGTAACTAAAAACTTGTATACTGTAAGGCTCAAAAGTGAATGGATTTTTAACATTCATAAATTATAACATAGACATATACAAACATATTTTTGTAGCACTGACATGTACAAATGAATTGATTTCTCAGTTTAAAGTAGTGGAAATGGAGTATGATAAGAGCACCAAGGTTAATCTAGTGAAACTAGTTTTTCTGGTCATATTTTGAGAATCAAAGAGAATTATCATTTGTGAGACATTCATACATATGTTCACTATGTATGTGGTTTTGAGGGCTTTTTAATCCTAGCAACCCTATTAGAGGAAAACGTCTCGGTTACGTATGGTAACCCTCGTTCCCTGAAGGAGGGAACGGCGACGTCATGTCGGATGACCGACGAATTGGGATCTCGTTTAGAGAGACCAATCCACTTCGAGTGTAAACTATACGA